GGCGGGGGCTCACCACGCGGTTGGGGTCGCTGCGATGGTTCTGCACGCAGTGCTTCACCAGCTCCTGCTGGTCGAGGTTGCGGGCACCGCAGTAGGGGCAGGTGAAGGTGGACCGGTTGGGGATGTTGCTAGGGGCAGGGCAGGAGGGGAGTGAGTTGCGGCTGCTGGCCTTGGGGTCAGACAGAGCCGGGACAGCCCCTGCAGCAGCGGTTTCCCCAGGGTGCCCCCTTGCTCCAAACACCAGGCCCAGAGAAGGCCCCAGCTGCCTACCCAGGCTCCGGGCACGTGTCCAGTGCCTACTGGCCCAGCCCCTTTAGGCCAGACACCCTCACCCTGCACAGGGGCTCTGCAGTGAGGCTGCTCCCGCCCCCGCCCCGACATCACTGGGAGCCACCAGCCGGTGTCAGACACTGCCTTGTTCCTGCTGGGAGCTGGCCTTGTGGTCCTGGTGTCCGGTCAGCTCTGGGACTCGCAACGCCTCCCACAGATGAGATGGAAACCAGAGTTGCCTCAGGGCCCCAGCTGCCTACCTGGGGATGGGCTGGGACGTGGGAACCACGGGGACGAACTTGGGGCAGTTGGCCATCTGCTCCTGGACCTTCACGCAGGATGACACGTGCACCCGCATCTTTGCCAAGGCCACCTAGGACACAGGAGGGGGTGAGGTGGCAGCAGGCCTGGGGCTCAGTCATCCCCGTGGGAGGGGACATGGGGTCTGGAGGAGGAGCAGGCTGGGAGACCCGGCCCAACACAGGCCAGCACCTGGCCTCTCTGGGGCCCTGCTGCTGGGGACCCCTCTAGCATGTGCATGGGGGAGGACTTTTGAGGGGCATTCCAGTGAGGGACACACTGCCCCCCGGACGGTCGGGAGCCTCCTGACAGTATGACAGAAGCGTGAGAACATGGAGCGGCTGCAGCCCGAGCCCCATTGGACATCCACTCAAGGGCAGAAAGTGGCCAAGAGGTGGTGCCGAGACGTGCCTCCATGAAGGAGTGGAAGGGAGAGGCGGCTCAGGGGAGTGGACGCACATGGCTCCGTGTCCAGCACGTGCCCAGGGTCTGGGGTAAGCTGTCGAAGGCGCTCTCACGACCCAAGTGTGGGAGCAAGGGAGGCAGGAAAGCACTGTGTGAGCACAGGCTGTGAAGCGCCCCCCGGGCCAGACAGCAGCTGCCCAGGAAGGGGTGCCAGGTGCCACCATCACTGGCTCTTCCAGCGGCACCTGCCTGGCTGGCACGCACATTAAGACACCACGCACCAGGGAAGACCCGCACTGCAGCCGGGAGGCGCTGCTGCTGGGTTGGGCAGCTCTGTGAGAGAGTGACCCCAGGGGCATCTAGCGGGCTGAGGCTGCAGTGCGGGAAGAGGGGAGGCGCCCGCTTGCCTCCTTGCCACCCGGACATGCTTCCCACGTGATCAGCTGGCGGAGCACTAACTAGAGAGGTGGCAAGTTGGACGTGAAAACACAGGGTGAACACAGAGCTGCTCACTCTGTTCATGGTCACCAGGACAGAGGGCCCCGCAGGAGTGACCACAGCCGTGAGGGGGCACAGGGCAGGCTCCGGAGGAAAGTGGAGAAGGAGGCTGGGGTTGAAAGCAGGGACTGCCAAGCTCCGTCGTGACGTGTGGGACCTGGTGTGTGTGATGGGTGTGGCAGCTCCACCCTCAGACACTGGGACTGCAGGGACCAGGGATATGACCCTCCAGGGACCAGGTGGACACAGGCGGGGCTGCACCCTGAGGCCATGGCAGGAGCGTGTGCCGTGTAGGGTGTGGTGCAGAAGCAGAGAGCAGCAGTTGCTCAACAGGAAGGCAGCAGACAGCCTGCACCCCATCCTCTTCTGAGGCACAGACCGACTCAGCACCCAGGAAGGCATGGGCGTGGGGGCGGGGACGGGTACCTTCTTGTTGCAGCCACGGCAGGGCGCCTTGTAGGAGGAGAGCTGCTTCTCTACGGGAGTGGCCTTGTCCACCTTCTTGGGGTCGAAGGGCAGGCGGCAGAGTGGACAGAGGGGGGATGGCACCTGGAGGCATGGCTGGAGACACTCCCCACAGAACCTGAGGGAGGAGAGGTCTGAGCGCCCATCCTGGGCGCCCCTCCCCACATGCCGGCTTCTCAGTGGCCTGAGGTCTTAGGGAAGGGTCTGTCAGAGGGCTCCCTTCTGAATCACTGCTGGGTGACGGCTCACAGGCTCAGGGGTGCCTGTCCCTGCACAGGGCTACTGACACCATGGAATCGACTTTGTACAAGGAAACTGTGCGGAGTTGGGTAGTTCCCAGAGGGGCACACAGCTGGGTCGGGAGGACACTTTCTGAAAAGTGTGAACCTGGAAGCATTCTGTGTGTGTGTGTGCTTCAGCAACAAAGGACACAGCTCAGGGAAGGCAGGGGCTGACAGGACGGCCAGGGGAACACAGCAGGGGGTGGGGGGACACGTCTCATCCAGGCTCCAGTGGGGCCAGCGTCACACCTTAACGCTGAGTTCTGCAGTGTGTGCTAAAACCACAACTCAAAGGCAGACTTAGAAAGAGAAAGTGGCAAGAGTGGTCTGGCACCCAGGACACTGCACGTTCAAGGCCATGATCAGGGCAAAGGGGTTGGTGCCAAGGAGAATCCTTTATCACTGTCACACCACCCGAAGCCCACAGAGGAAACTCATTCCAAAACTAGGACGGGGATTGGATGGACAGATCACATGAAATACCCACTAATCTGAGTCCACAAGTGATGAGTCTGCCCAAGGCGACCCCTGCTGCTGAGTCACAAGCAGCCTGAAAGCTGGGGAGCAGCCCCCTCACAAGATTAGTGGGCACACTCGCTCTCTGGGTGTGGGTGGGTGCCTGTGCCACCTGACACCATGGGAAGGGACGTGCAGGCAGGCTCTTGATGCGGACACTGTGACCCCACATTCACTGCCAGCGGCAGTTCCAGCCCCTCTTGGCGTGTGCAGCTGCAGAAGGTAGCTGTCTGCATTTGCAAAACCTCCTGGGTCCTGGTGCCAGGGCCAAGCCTGCCCCCTCGGAGCAGAATCCCCACCTCCTCAGCAGGCGCCTGCGGGCCCAGAGCCCTCCTGCCTGCTCCCCTCAGCTGCTGCTTCTCCAGCCACTGCGAGAGGCCCGCAAGCAGACAATCTTGGCCCACCTCCGGGCTGGGCGCAAAGTCACATCCTCAAGTCCTGTTCTGAAGCACCCCCGGCGCAGCTGGAGACGGCAGCAAGGTGCTTGGCGTCCGGTCCCCTGCAGGCCAGCCTGTCTGGCCGCTCAGTGTGACCCAAGTTCTCCTCCAACGCAAAACAGCACTAAACTCCAAACAAACCCCTCTCCTAACTTTAGGGAACGCCACTCCGTGGTGGCCAAGGCAAACAGCGGCAGATCTGAAAACGAGTCGACAGCAAAAGCCCAGGAATCACTTATTCACAACTACCGCCCAGGCTCCACGGGGTGGACCGAGCGGAAGGAGATCCGCGCAGCGGCCCTCTGGTACCTGGGCAGCCTCCTGCACGCCCGCCTCCCCCAGCCCCGGTAGGGCTGCAACTCGTCCCCGTGTGCCCAAGGGGGCGGTAGGGTCGAGCGCCTGGGGCTGGCGGGCAGGAGGTCGGGCCGCGCGAGGCAGCCCCTAGCCCCCGAGTCCCCTGCGCGTCCCCGCCGGGCCTCGATGCTCCGGGGCGGGCGCGGATCCGCACCTCCCCAAGGCCGGGAGCACTCACGTGTGGCCGCAGCTGCCGATGGCCACTGGCCGATGGTAGACCTCCAGGCAGATGGGGCAGCTGTACTGAGCTTCCAGGCCGCTGTCGCCGCCCGCTGGCCCGGCCGGCGGCTGCCGCTGCTGAGCCGAGGCCACCAGGC